GGGTGTGGGTGTGTTAGTGTCATGCTGCTCGGGCGAGTGGCGGTTTGCCGTGGAGGCGGTCCGGTTCGCGCAGCATGGGGCACGAACGAAGTGGTCCACTGCCGGTGCGTTCTAAAGCCCGAGAAGTTGCGTAGGTGACTCCACCCGTCGCATGTGTTGCACCTGACCGAGGTGGAGTTTGCATGTAATCGTCTCCGGCATACGCAACAGGTGTATATTTCTGGCCCTGGGTTTGACTCTATGCCAGCCCTGAGCAGAAGAGTTCGGATCAGATGTAGCCCCATAATTGAACAGCGTTTGATGCATTGCATTTCGCAGACCTAAACGGGGTTAGATCGCCCCCCTTGGTCGGGTAAAACTCGAGTCATTCCGGTACGTAGAAGAAGCGGCTATCGTGGGGGGTCGCGTTCCTCTCTTTCAAAGAACATATCAGATTTTGTCCATACTGTTAGTGTGGGGCTGTTGGAGGTTGAAGACAGCCAACTTAACTACAATTTTAAGAGACATTGTTAAAGCAAAGCCACGCAGTGACACGTTGGTTATAGTCGATGGATGCAGAGATCTGGCAAACCTTAGAGCAATAGAAACCTTAGCCGCTCGGCAACTCCCACAAGAAACCAAAAACAGCTCAGGCAGCGGTGCTCTATACTTAACTTCTGCAGTGCCAGGTTTTACCATCATCGTTGTACCGACAGTCGGGTCTACGTAACCGGAACGACCCGGATCTATATCAAACCAAAGACTTTCGCTCCAGCTGATTCTCCAAAAACTTTTTAGGTAATTTTTATGCTATTACAACAACCATCGTTGACATCTGACCAGCTTGGTGAAATGAGCCGGGCAAGAGAAGATACGCACACACAACTTCATAAAAACCAGCCGTAGTTTATAAATAAAAAAAAGTGTTTGTTTAAATTTTTTATTTATTAGGTTTTTTTTTTATTCACTTTAACCTATATTTGAAAATAGTTTCTGACTCATATCAATTACTGTTCATTTTAGCAACTAAAAATAATTTTGTTTTTATATATTAACTATCTTAGAAATCTAATGCTTGATTTTTTAGTATGTTTTANTTTTAGCAACTAAAAATAATTTTGTTTTTATATATTAACTATCTTAGAAAATCTAATGCTTGATTTTTTAGTATGTTTCATCTTAAGGTGTGTCTTATTTTATTTTCGCACTTTAATAACTTGTCATTAGGGTTGAATATTTTTATGCACGATTGTGTTAAAAAATGCATATCAATGGATACGAATACATACTTATGTATGCATTAATTTTTGTATGTTATGACATGATTTGCATTTCATAAGATTAACTTAAATACTTTTCTTCTTTTTTTATCTTCAAAATCCTGTTCAAATTTAAAGAAAAAAATGATTTTTATAAGAGTTTTAGTTATTTATTTTATAAAATTTTATATTATCCCTCTTTTCTTTTATTTAAAGCAAATGTCCAGTATAATATTTTTTTTTTTTTAACTCCACAAATAAGATTACGGTCACAAATTAAACTTGTACATAAATCACTTATTAAAAATGCAAGTTTACGGATTTATGTCCATGTACATATATGTATATCAATTTTTTGATATTGAAAATTGCGACTATCTTTTGATTCTTAAAGAACCCCATCCACGACCATGCGACACATCTATAAACTGGCTTAACAACTTTCGTTTTAGAGTAGTTTGCAACACACACCAGCGCTTCTTTGAGCGTTTTTTTTTTTTTTGTTTGTTTGTATACGCGAGTGTGTGTGCTTATAATAAAAATACTCAAATGTTTTATTGTTTCATATCAACTTTTCCCTATCTTTTTTTTAATTTTTCTTTCTACTTTTCTTAATCACTGCAACTAACCTAGTTCCTTTACTAAATCAATATTTTCTTGTTTTCACATTGATTAGAAAATCGTTCGTCTCTACACAATTATGCCAATGTCATATTAAATACTTTTATTATAATTTATTTTTNTTTTTTTTTTTTAACTCCACAAATAAGATTACGGTCACAAATTAAACTTGTACATAAATCACTTATTAAAAATGCAAGTTTACGGATTTATGTCCATGTACATATATGTATATCAATTTTTTGATATTGAAAATTGCGACTATCTTTTGATTCTTAAAGAACCCCATCCACGACCATGCGACACATCTATAAACTGGCTTAACAACTTTCGTTTTAGAGTAGTTTGCAACACACACCAGCGCTTCTTTGAGCGTTTTTTGTTTGTTTGTTTGTATACGCGAGTGTGTGTGCTTCTAATAAAAGTACTCAAATGTTTTATTGTTTCATATCAACTTTTCCCTATCTTTTTTTTAATTTTTCTTTCTTCTTTTCTTAATCACTGCAACTAACCTAGTTCCTTTACTAAATCAATATTTTCTTGTTTTAACATTGATTAGAAAATCGTTCGTCTCTACACAATTATGCCAATGTCATATTAAATACTTTTATTATAATTTATTTTTAGTTTTTAAAAGTCACCTACGACGTACATACGTTACCAACTAACAACACAGTCTGTTTTATCTGTACTCACAAATTCTGCGAAATTTTTTCAAATTTTAATTTAAAGAGATAAAGAGTACACTCATTTGGCCTTCTAGTGGTTTTCGCGAAATATAAGCGACTCGGAAGTTTTTTACAATTTTTGTTATTATTTTTTTTTTGTTAAAATAATTATACAACGTATTTAACAGTAATAAAAGTTTCGTTGAATTTTTGAGGGAAGCGGGGTGCTCAAGAATAATAGCTATAATTCATGACTATAATAATAATAAAAAAAAATTATTTGTATACAAAAATTAACGTGCTAATGCTTATTTTTTATTTATATAAATATACTTTAATTAACAAAATGAATTGCTGCTGAAAACCAAAAGTCAAAATCTTCGTCACAAAACCGAATATATTAATACATATAGCAGGAAAATATCAGAAATCGGTTGAGATGTGCTAAGCAGAATACCAGCTTTTCAATTAACCTTTTCAACTAGACATTCTTTGTTTTCCTTAAATAATATTTTAACTCTTCAAATGCATTTAATAATATTTATGGTATATAAAATATCGCTAAAACCTAAAAGGCAAACGTGTCAACTTAACGCTTAGCTTACTTATTGGTACATAACAAAAAAAGAAAACTCTGAACAAAAATATTTACTTGGGGAAAAGTATGAAAAAGGGAGTCTGTTGGTGCTCAACGATTTATGAAAGTTTCAAATATGATGGCGGTGAGCACTTCTTGCGTAAGAACTTTATAATATACAATGGTAAACAAGAAACAAGCGTGATGATGGAGACCTTCCAGAGGAAATCGTACGACCAGATGAACTCCCAATCTGTGCGCGTGACGGAGAAAGAAAAAGACATAGAAAATTAAAAAAAAAATAATAATAATCTTAATGTAGTCATAACTTACCAAAATATTCGTGCAACACAGCCAACGATATCAAGTAGAGGGCCAAGCTGAAGAGCTCAGCTAACACCATGAGACTGAAAAGCGAAATTTCGATAAAACATTAGAAAACAATGCTGACGTGCTGCGCAGTTAATTATCACTTTGTACTTACCGATGCCATGTGCGCACCGTCAACGCCACCATTATCAACTCAGTCATAATGAGCGCCGAGAAGCTAATCGCCACAATATGTATGAATTCATCTTCGAACAGTATAAGCGCGCCATACATTATCACACCGCCCTGATATATACTGATTAGCACCCAGATGAAGAAGGTTTTGTAGCTCAAACTACGTCCTTTCGATAGATCTTTGTACAATTCCGGATAGGTTACTGCTGTAGTCGAAGTTATATCCTGATCAAGCACCAGCGAGAATACGGGAAACATTGTGTATAGCGTCGAATAGCCAACCATGAGAAAACCTTGATACAACGCCACTGAGCTGAGATAGAAGACAGCGGAGAATACAGCTTGTAGTGTAGTTATGATTAGACCGCGATGTATGACAAATTGTGAGAGCGCCGCCGAACGCTTGTACGAACGCCGTCCATGCACCAGCAATAGTTTGGCAATATGTGAAAATTGTGGTATGCTAAAATCGCCAGCGAGTGAAGCTTGCCGCCCCTCACGGCCTTCAATACCTACACCAGCATCGGCCTGTTGTATCATGCTTACATCGTTACCGCCATCGCCAACTGCGCACGTACGCTTGCCCGTGTGATGTTGTATCAGCTGTACCACTTGGGCCTTCTGCGTTGGACTGCAACGACAACACACCACTGCCGGACTAGCGGTGGCAAGCTCGAGGAATTCTGGTCTATAGTATTGTAGACACACCTCAAGAGATTCACCCGAAATAACCAGTGCGTGACCCTGTTTGCGACGGAAGTTATTTAGCTCCACATGCGCCTCTGTGCGTGTCGTCACCGAGCGCAGCACATGTAGGCCTTGATTGCGACCGATTAGCTGTGAGGATTTTGCAATACAGCAGGCGGTCTCGAGCTTGTCACCCGTCAACATCCATACGCGCACGCCAGCGTTACGTAGCAGTTCGAGTGTTGGACGCACGCCTTCCTGCAGCCGGTCCTCAACGCCTGTATGTAAAAAAAAAACAAGGAATTTATAGGGGTGATTTTGAAAAGTACTTATGCTGGTTTATTCACCCGTTAAGCAGAGTAACTCCATCTCGCGCTCCAAAGACTCAATCACGGCGGCCACTTTGGCTACGCGATCACTTACGCTGAGGCGTGCGGCGGTAATGCGAGTTTCGAAGTCATTATATTGCTCTTCGGAGAGCACTTTCTTGGCCACAACCAAAGTCCGCAGTCCCTCACGCGCCATATTGCCAGACTCTTCGCTCAGCCAGTCGTTGTACTGCACAATGGAGGACATGACCACGTCGGCACCTTTGAGATAGAATGTAATTTCACCGGAGCCGGAAGCGCGAACAATAATACCCATGCGTTTGCTTTCGCTGGTGAAGGGGAATACCTGAAGAATTTGGTATTGCAGTAGGCCATCTTGTGGTTCACCCTTGGCTGAGAAGATGAAGTGGGAAATATTTATATACTTATGTTTTATTAATCATAAAATAGAATGTAAAAAATTTACCTTAAATACAATTTTTTGAAAATATCTAAATAAAGGGCAGTAAAATAATCTCAAACTTACACTTTCTCGTTTTCATTTGCAGTGTCATGGAGTTAATATCGCGCCCAATCAACGTCAAACCCACCTCAGCCGTCCACTTAACCAGCGCAATCTCATCTGGCGAGGACGCTTGATACTGGTGCTCTGTAGCGCTCGATTCTACATTTATCACAGATTTTGTGGGCGAAGTAGAACCACCTGTAGCGAAACGAAAGGTAAGGGGAGGTTCAATTTATTACCATTTTATCTATATTCATTTAAATATACTGCATCCCACGCACCTGCCGATGATGTGTATGTCGACGATGTGGACACAGATTTGTTGTCATCCTCGTCGGTGATTGGGGTCACATTGTGGCACAATGCCAACGCCTTTACTGCCTCCCATTCGCGCCAACCCTCCGGGTGCCGCATTCGATTACCCGAGTACATCGGTTTTGTTGTTATAACTAAAGGCGTCTGCGGGTCGCCAGTTCCGCCGCTATTACCACCGCCAACACCGGCGCCATTTCCTGGTGCACTTTGTGCCAGTATCGTAGGCGCTAGTGTTTGTATTATCTGACCGATATGATGAAATGTGTCATTGTCATGTGAAACTATGCCTAAATGTATCTTCTTGAAGACCATTTCATTTTGTGTCAGCGTGCCCGTCTTGTCAGTGAGCACATACGATATACGACCCAGCTCTTCGGGTATGGTTGTCGAACGCACTACGGTGCCTTGAATTTCAGGATCATTTTGCATTTGCCATGAATAGAATGCTTTGCCCATGTCCAAATTAACACGTAAACTTATGGGTATAATGTAGGAGAAGAGTAGCACAAAGCGGAACATATAGCGATACCAAGGGCCACTGAAACCTTTGAGCATCATCATGACGAGCGAGAGGCCGAGAACGGCACAGAACAGCACCTTGAAAGGAGTAAAGAAATGTATGAATGGTGTAGTTTACACTTACTAAACTTAAACTAAGTGTTTTTGATTTTTATTTATTTTTAATCCATTTGTTATTAGCTTAAATTTTTTATTTCCCCATGTTTTTTTCACTTCTACTAAGACGTCATACCTTAGTTAGACCGTTAATCTCCACATCGAGCAGTCCAACCTTCGAACGCGGCTGCGAGTTATTCATAACGCTGCGCGTTTCACAGCCAGTATAGATCACAATGCCGGTAGCTGTGCCAGCAGCGACGACAGTATTCGCCCACAGCGTATTCTCCACATTAAGGCCAGTTTCCTCGCCTCCATCCTGCTAGAGAAAGGCGAATAAATATAATTTCAACATAAATTTCGAAACCTATAAGTTCTTAAGCCACACAAAATCTCTACTCACCATCGAGAATGTGCCGATGAATGAGTGTATATCATTTTGTGGCTTTTCAATGTAAACGCTTGCGTCAATATGGAATAAATCTGAATCCTTGTTCAACTTCTGAGTAAGCGGCACTGCCAGGCGCAATTTCCAATCAGTTTCACCTATAATTAGAAGAAGTATTTTGTTTTTTTTTATATAAAAATATGTTTTTCTTTTTACTTTTCTATCTACATATTTATAAACTCACCATCCAATTGATCGGTGCGCACAAAGACAGAACCACTCTTGTCGCTGGTGCGCAGCAGTACTAAATCCGCTGGCACTCGCTCGTTCTTCTCTACAATTATCATATCTCCTACTTTCAATTTTGATGAGGGCACCATCTCATAACCTGGTGTCTCATTTACAGTTAGCCTCTTGTATTTTTGCGAATTCACCTCATGATCACGTTGGTGTCGTCGCAAATCGTCGACCGCTTCACGACCGATTGTCACCATCAGCACGAAACTGAGTGGTCCCCAGTAGGTGTATGGGTAGCCAATGCGTATGTCGGGTATGAATTGTGACAATGCCATGAGCAAGAAATACAGATTTAAAAAGAAACGAAACTGCTCGAACAGGACGAGCGGCAGGAACGTGATCACATTGTATTTTTGATTTCGTATCTCGTTCGGTGGGAATTTTTCCGTGGTTGCACGGCCCAAATGCACGGTGCGCGCACGTAATTCGCGTGGTGCAAACCATTTGCGCCAGCAGCTGTGGGTGAAAAGAAAAGTTATTAATATTTTTTTCTATTTAATTTAAATAAAATTTCGGTAAATGTATTTAAGAAATTTTATCCAATTTACGATGGTGGCTGCTGAAAAATTTTGTTTTTCCTTTTTTTTTTAGTTTAGTTTTTAGTCCAACTTGGAACACTTTGAAATAGATTACACTTCAATTTTATTTAGTTTTTGTTGGTTTATTTTATTTTTATTGTATCAAAATATGTAGGTTCCCCATCCAAATAGATAAACTGCTTTCAAAGGAAGACTTCTGAAAAAACTCTCTCGCTTTAAAGTCTATACGTTTAACTTTCTACAACAGTCCATTTTTTGCCATGGTTTTAATTAATCTCTTTATTCATTCAATTACACAAAAAAAAAAAAACACAACATATTCACAAATTGTAAAACCTACAAATAAAGCAAGAGGAAGAATTTCGAACTGAGCTTCAACTTTTCCAACTCCTTGCCAGGTTCTTCGCCTTTAACAACTTCCGACATTTTTTCATTACTTTCACAAATTCGTCATCAACCAAGCCACACCAATGACTGACTGACTAAAACGCAAACATATGCGGTCAGCACCTTCGAAAATAATACATATGTATATATGTGATTTTAAAGTTTTACACTAAAGGCAAGCAGACTGAATAAAAAATATACATTTTCATACGACACATTTGGGCTTACGAGCAGTTGTTTAATTAACCAGCCATAGCTGTATATGGCAAGTAGCAACAACAAACAAAGTAGAACTCGAAAAATTACAAGCAAGAGCTAATTGTTATGCAAAAGTGTTGACGGGCTTAAAAAAATAAAAAATAAAAATGAATAAATAAAAAATGCACACATACCCCAACAAAAATAAGGTAAACAAATACCGAGTGCCTTGGTGGATCAACGGAAATGTGATTGCAAGGGTGGGGTGCGCAGAAAAGGGTTTATTAGTTAATTTTGATAATCCAAATAATACAAAAGTAAGGAGGAAGCATAAGAAGGAAATAAACAGCGAAATATGAAAATAAATAAAAACTAACATATTTTAATAAATAAAGAAACAAATAATCCAGAGTCAATTTGACAATGTGGGTGTTCACAACTGTTGTTGTTGTTGTTGTTGTAGCAGCATACAAATTCCCCAAAGACTTTTTGGGGAGTGTTGCTGGAGTGACAGTCCTTGGCCAGATATAAATCTGGGTCGTTCCGGTTACGTAGACCCGACTGTCGTGGGAACGGTGTTCACAACTGTCTGGTTATCCGGTTATATTTTTATTCAGTTTTCAACAATAAAATAAACTATAGGATAGGCAACAACAATCAATCAAAAGAAATTACATTGCTCAGTAAAACAATTACCAAATCAAAAACTAAAAGCACATTCACTTTAAACAGTAAACGCAAAGAAATTTAAATGAAATTAGAATTACAAATTAATGAATAAACAGATAGCAATAAAAATTCGTGAGCAGCCAAACTGTTTCAGTAGCGCAATAAAAAGTCGAAACATCATTTGCCAAGTAGGTACTCCTGCAAATAATGCTGCTTACGAAATATGTACATACTTACAAAACAACAATTTTTTACATACATAAATACTAAAAATATTAATAATTGCATAAAAACTAAAAAAGTGTTGTAACGCGCCACAAAAATGCAAGCAAAACAGATATTGTGGCGATGAACTGCAGCAAGTCCGAGATTGTGAAGTCATTCCGAGTACCCGTTCGTAATACAATTAAGAGTTTTATATGTACATATTTATGTATGCATACACGTACTAAACACCCACAACGAATGAACAGTCGTAAAATCCAGTCGGAACATCAGCAGTTATGAATATGAAACAGTGTATAACAGAACAAGTTAAGGCAATAAATAGAAAATATTTGACGTTGCTGTGCCGAGCGCGTTGAGCTCCACAGCAGCCATTGAAATTTAAAACTTGTAAGACATGATGTCATGATAATGCGAATTTATTATGTATATATGTATGTATATACAAAAGTATGTAGAAGCTCAGTATGGTGGGTTATTGGAGTGAACAGTATGGAGGAGAGCCTGGGCGGAACTGAAGGAATACATCACTTAATTACATTTATGTACATATATAAGAATCGCAAACCAACTCTAAGGTCATCTGACAATGGTCTGTTCTAAGCTACCATTTCAATCACCACCACACACCCCTATATACAGCAATTGCGAGACTGATTATGGAGCAGGATCAACTTCTTTTGTGGCTGATTAAAATAAAAAAGTATGTATGTATTCGGTATATTTAGGACGACACCAAATTGAGTTACAATAACGACAGTCGGGTCTAAGTAACCGGAACGACGTAGGTTTATATCTGGCCAAAGACTGTCACTCCAGCAACACTCCCCAAAAACTCTTTGGTGAATTTGTATGCTGTGTAACAACAACAACAAACACAAGTAGTAAGGTGGCTTTTTTGAGATCTAGTAAAAATAAATAAATATATGTACATATAAATAAATATTCGTTAAATGCTACTTCGGATCTAAGCCGATTCGCACTGTCACTGGTATCCATCATACGGGAATAAGCATGTATTCAAGGAATACCATTCGCACGAGTTTAATTCACCTCACTCGCTTGTTATGACAGT